GGCTGGGGATTCGAACCCACCACCTTAGGTGTACGTGGCTGGCGCCTTAGCCGGTTGAGCTATAGGCGCCGAGCCTGTTAATTATATCTTAAACACTTTTAAAAATGAGATACTTTGTATATACTAAAGTACAAAATTTTTTTTAAATGACAACACTACATCTTTTAATTGGAATAGGTAAATTAATACAACTCACAATGAGTGCTGGTGAAGATATGAACAACTGGAACTTGTACCTTGTTCATGGGGATGCAAAACAGCGTAGAGATTTTGGAAAAGTTTGGCAGTTCCTTACAAAATTAAACATACACTTACCCATAGCAGCAATCCTTGAAGGGAAATAAAAACACTTCACACAAGCACCCCTATGCAAATGTTTATGGCAGCTTTTTTCAAAACTCAGCAACTATAAACAACCATAATATCCCTTCAACTGGTAGGTGGATAAACAAATTGTAGCATTTCCATGGAATACTAACTCCGCAACAAGAGAATGAACTGTTGATCTATCCACTGATACAGATGAATTGCAAAAGCATTATGTTAATGAAAAAAGCCATGTTCAAAGTCTACATATTCTTGAGTCCACTTACCATTTCTTAACATTCTAGAAAAGGCAAAACTATAGGGAACAGAAACAGATCAGCAGTTGTCAGAGTCAGGAGTTGGTGGGGATGGATGGCTGCAAAATCCCTAGAGGGAATTTGGGAATGGTGGAACTGGACTATATTTTGATTGTGATGGTGGTTACAAAACTATGCATTTGTTGAAATTCATAGAACTGTACAATTAAAAGGAGTGCATTTTATTATTTTAAAAAAATCATCTCAGATGTAAAAATGATCTCATTACCTACAACTGCAGGGGGAGAGCTATCATTATGCATGAGAAAATTGGTTCAAAAGAGCTGATGTGGTAAGGTATTAAATGAGGACTTTCCTAAGAATATCAGCTTTGCTCTGCTCTGCCATATGTAGACTTGGATGAATACACATGACTGTTACCACAGTATTTAAATGAATCTAACCTTGGAAGTGTTATCTGAAGAAACAGGGCTATGCAAGATACCAAAACTCTGAAAACTATTCTCGTATAATGTGAAAATAACCCCCCAAAAGAAACCCTATAATTCTTGGTAAAATTGTTACCTTAGATGTAAATAACATTCTAGTGGTTTATGCGTTTTCTTTTTCTTTTTTTTTTTTTTTTTAAGATAGAGTCTCACTCTGCTGCCCTGGGTAGAGTATCATGGCATCATAGCTCACGGCAACTTCAAACTCCTGGGTTCAAGAGATCCTCCAGTGTCAGTCTCGAAAGTAGCTGGGACTACAGGGACCTACCACAGAGCCCCAGCTAATTTTTCTATTTTTAATAGATACATGGTCTTGCTATTGCTCAGGCTGGTCTTGAACTCCTGAGCTCAAGGAATCCTCCCACCTTGGCCTCACAGAAGGCTAGGATTACAGGTGCGAGCCACTGACTGCAAGATTTTTTTTTTTTTGAGACAAAGTCTCACTATGTTTAGAGTGCTGTGCTGTCACAGCTCACAGCAACCTCAGACTCTTGGGCTTAAAAGATTCTCTTGCCTCAGCCTCCCAAGTAGCTGGGACTACAGGCACCCACCACAATGCCTGGCTATTTTTTGCTGAAGTTGTCATTGTTGTTTAGCTGGCCCAGGCCAGGTTGGAACCTGCCAGCTTTCATACATGTGGCCGGCACTGTAACCACTGTGCTACAGGTGCCGAGCCAACTGCAAAATTTTTAACCGGGGGCCAGTCAAGGTCCAGATGTTGTTCATACATAAGAAAGAAAACTATCCTGTGCAGTATCAGATACTCTATGACACAAATCTTCAAAGTCAGATGCTTTAAAAAATAAAGCTGGGCCAAGTGTGAGGGCTCACGCCTATAATCCTAGTACTCTGGGAGGCCCAGGCTGGAGGATCATTTGAGGTCAGGAGTTCAAAACCAACCTAAGCAAGACGCCATCTCTACAAAAAATAAAAGAATTAGCCAAGTGTGGTGGCACACACCTGTAGTCTAAGCTATTGGGGAGTCTGAGGCAGGAAGCTTGCATAAGTTCAGGAGTTGGAGGTTTCAGTGAGCTATTATGATGCCATTACATTGTATCCCAGGTAACAGACCATGTCTCAAAAAAGGAAAAAAATAAGAAAAAAAATAACTTGGCTCAGCACCTATAGCTTGGTGGTTAGGGCGCCAGCCACATACACCAAGGGCTGGTGGGTTTGAACCTGGCCTGGGCCAGCTAAACAACAATGACAACTACCGAAAAAATATAGCTGGGCATTGTGGCAAGCACCTGTAGTCCCAGCTACTTGGGAGGCTGAGGCAAGAGAATCACTTACGCCCAAGAGTTTGAGGTTGCTGTGAGCTGTGATGCCACGGCACTCTACCAAGGGCGACACAGTGATACTCTGTTTCAAAAAAAAAGAACTTGCCCAAGTATATATCAAATATTTTACTGAAGCTTATTATGTGTCAAGATGAGTACATATTTCATCAAGCAACCAACAGTTTCTGGCTTCCTGTGCAACTAGGACTCCCTAGAGAGTCATCTGTGTGTTCTAGCAGTATAGCAACAGAAGAGACAACTTAGAAAAAGTCAAGGTAAGCCACCAACCCACTTGAGAGGCAAATGGAGAAAGATCCCAGGAAATTACAGTCAACAGGGGAGCAATGACACAACCAGTCTTCCCAGATAACCAAGGCTTTAAATGGTCATATCTTACTCTATTCATCAAGCAATCCTTATAATCTATAAAAGTTTAAGTTTTCTGAATAGTTCTACCCAGCCAATGACAATTATCCATCAGGATAATTAATATGTTTGTCCATTCCTATGTGAGATGGTTTATCTGGCAATTCAGTGAAAGGATGTTGGTCAAATCCCCAACTGACTACCAAAGAAAAAAAATATCTAATCACAATTAAAATTACAGATAGTGACTAGGTTTTATCTCCTATGTAAATTTTATTAGAAATTGTGAACAGTTAGGAAAAATAAAGATACCCTTCATGACCAGGTAAATAATAAAACATGACAAAAACACTATAAACATTTCTGAACATACACACACATATATCACAGATCTTATCAAAAGGAAATACATAGAAAAACCAGATAGTATTTTTTAAAAATAATTTGCAGGGGAAGTTCTTAACACTTTATGAGTTCTAAAATATTTGCCTTTAGAAAAATTTTAAGATTGGAAAGACAGTTTTTTCCTTTGCTGTAATTACTACAAACTTATTAACACAGAGGTAACTATCAATATTATTTTTCCTTAAACTTGAACACAAAGGGAACAATAAAAAAAACGTCATTTGACCTGATTTAATTAAAAGTCACTCTAGATGTCTTCAGTCCAGCTCTGGTCTCCAGGTACATTTCTAGAACAGGTTTGTATCACTTGGTCCATCCCCAATAGGTTGGATTGGATGGTCTGCTATAGCTGTCAGAATACCACCTTTTATTCTGAGATGCTTGATGGGCATTTGAATTCGCATTCCAAGAGTATCTCCTTTGTGAATAGTCCTCTCCTGGGGGACCAGGAGGAGGGATATGGCCTCTCTGGTAAACATTCTGATTCTGTGGAAATCTCCTGAAAGCAAAACAAGAAGTAATAAAACATCACTAGGATTAATTAAACATATATAAACTTTATAAAATAATACATAGATATTCTGGTTCTATTATTTCCTACCTGTGTGACCTTAGCAGATAAATTACTTAATCTTTATATCTCTTAGTTCTCTTAGTGCCATTATAAAATGGAGCTAATAATACCTACCATCTTCATGGGCTGTTATGAAGGTAAATCAAGCCAATACATTTCAGTTATATACAAGGCATACAAAAAGCTGCTACACACAGAAGTATATTTTGTAAGGTTTTGTAATGAATATTTTGTAAAGATACATTTAGCTACAATTTCCTATTGTCTGTATATGGCGACTTTTAGGACACCCTGTGCAATATTCTAGCACACAGGTTCCCAAAAGGCTTTTCACCTTTCTCTATAAAGAAAAAATGGATACCCGCGCTATTTCTGAACAAATGTTTTCACTCGCCAAGTCTGGCAGGGTTGACTTAAAACAGAATAGGCTATTTAGTATCAACAGGAAGCTGCTTCTACTTTATGAATAAATTAATTATAAGTGTTGAAAAACTTTAACCATGCTACACAGAGCAAAATCGGAAAATGAGGATTTAAATTTCTTTGTTTCAAAAGCAAGCTCAGGAAATGTAACATGATTATACAAAAGAAAATTTGGAAATCTGAGAAAAGAAAATACATCCCTCACAGGTCCTCCCTGAGGCAGTGGGGCTAGGATTTGGTAGCTGGTGCCGAGAAAAGACCCTTTGACTTCTTTGGCATCTTTGCTCTGGGACTCTACCAGCGGCAACTGTCACTCAATGGGACAGAGATGACTCTGTAACTTCTTACCTAACTTTGTGCCTTTCTTTTATCATTCTAACCTTTAAAAAAATAAGAAAATATATCCCCTTCCCCAAAGCTCTAAAGCCCACTTAATCTAATTTAACTGGTTAGTATTTCCTTTTGGTCTTTCCCTCCCAGCACCATTTTTTGACTGTTGAATCACAGCCTATAATTTTTAGTTATCAGAAAAGAGCACACTTTCAATGGCTTTATAAAATGGTAAAGTATGGATACAATAATCACTTAGCTACATTCCCCATTATTATAAATACAAGCAGCTACTAGTTTTTCCACTACCACAAATAATTCTGTGATTAACATCTCAGAACAAATACTACTAAATCCTGAGCACCTACCCCAGTGCCTGACACACAGTAGGGAGTTTGAGAAATGGGCTGAATGACTAAACAAATATAGCTTTTTCCATATTTTGAAATAGTCCTTAGTCTCAAGGATTACCAGGTATCAGCATTATTATGGCTATTACAATTATTTTTCAAAAGGGTTATACTGATTTTCAGGTGCCACTAGTAACGTCCTTTTGAAATGTTGATATCTTTTAAAAATGCAAGCATCAGCTCGGCACCTATGGCTCAAGCGGCTAAGGCACCAGCCACATACACCTGAGCTGGCGGATTCGAATCCAGCCCGGGCCCGCCAAACAACAATGACGGCTGCAACCAAAAAATAGCCAGGCGCTGTGGCGGGTGCCTGTAGTCCCAGCTACTTGGGAGGCAGAGGCAGGAGAATTGCTTGAGCCTAGGAGTTGGAGATTGCTGTGAGCTGTGATGCCACAGTACTCTACCCAGGGCAATAGCTTGAGGCTCTGTCACAAAAAAAACAAACAAAAAAATGCAAACATCTTTTTGAAAGTTATCTACAATGTGCTAAAATGCTTAACTCATGGTCATGATCAACAACCACCCTTATACAGTATGTATTATTAAAATCTTCATTTGACTGATGAGAAAAAGGAAATTTAGAGAAGCTAAGTATCTTACCCAAGATCATACAGTGGGTGAATACAGCACCAAGATGCAAATAAAGGTCCAGTGTAGCAACCACTCATCAAAAGCTGTTGCTAAATGCGGGGTATAGTGGCTCATGACTGTAATCCTAGCACTTTGGGATGCCAAGGTGAGAGGACTGCTTGAGGGCAGGAGTTTGAAACCAGCTTGAGCAAAAGAGACCCTGTCTCTACTTAAAATAGAAAATTAGCCAGGCATAGTGGTGCATACCTATAGTCCCAGCTACTTGGGTTAGGCTGAAGCAAGATCACTTGAGCCCAGGAGTTTCAGGTTTTGTTGAGCTATGATGATGCCGCTGCTCTCTAGCCTAAGTGAGAGAGTGAGACACTGTCTCCAAAAAATAAAAAAACAAACAAAAAAACTGTTGTGGCCAGGCACAGTGGCTCACACCTATAATTCTAACACTCTGAGAGGCCCAGGCAGAAGAATCCCTTGAACTCAGGAGTTTGAGAGCAGCCTAAACAATGGTGAGACCCCATCTCTACTAAAAATAGAAAAATTAGCCAGGTGTCATGGGGGAGGTGCCTGTAGTTTCAGCTACTGGGGAGGCTGAGGCATGAGGATCACTCAAACCCTAGGAGTTTGAGGCTGCTGTGAGCTATGATGCCACAGCACTCTAACCATGATGACAGAGTAAGATTCTGTCTCCAATAATAGAAAACTATTGCTAAATTAATAGACAAAAAATAATGTCTGGTTATTTGTGATGGTTAATATTCAGTGTCAACTTGACTAGATAGAGGGATACTGACATAGCTGGTAAAGCATTATTTCTGGGTGTGTCTGTGAGGGTGTTTTTGGAGAAGACTGCTGTGTCATAGGTTGACTGAGCGGGAAAGATCTACCCTCAATGTGGGCAGGCACCATCCAATTGGCTGGGGGCCTCAAGAAAACAAAATGGCAGAGAAAAGGCAAATTGCTTTCTCTCCTGGAGTTGAAACACCCTTGCTCTCTTACCCTTGAACATCAGAACTCCAGGTACTCTGGCTTTGTAAGACAAGACTTGTATCAGTGGTCCTGCACCCTTCGCAGATTCTCAAGCCTTGGATTGAGAGTTACACCACTGGCTTCTTTGATTTTGAGCCTTTCTGACTAGACTGAGCCACACTACTGGCATAACTTATTCTCCAACTTACAAACGGCCTATTAAGAAACTTCTCAACCTCCATAAATGTAAGAGCTAATTCCTCTAAAAAAAAAAAAAGTCCCTCTCATCCATCCATCCTATTGGTTTTGTCATTTTGGAGAACCCAGTGACTAACACACTAGTTTAACTATACTAAGGTTTTTCTCATTTTCTAAGTGAAAATTACTTTTGTGATTTATCTGCTCAAATTTCTATTAAGATTTTTTTCTTCTTTTTTGTTTGGTGAGGTAAAGTCTCACTCTGTTACCCAGGCTGAAGTGCTATGGCGAGATCATAGCTCACTGCAAGCTCAAACTCCTGGGCTCAAACCTCCTATCTTAGCCTTGCAAGCAGCTGGGACTATAGATGTGCACCATGATGCCCAGCTCATTTTTCTATGTTTTATAGAAACAGGGTCTCACTCTTGCTCAGACTGGTCTCAAACTTCTGGTTTCAAACAATCTCCTACCTCAGCCTCACAAAATGCTAGGATTATAGATGTGAGCCACTGCTCCCTATTTCTACTAGGATCTTATTATTTTTCTTGTAAGTTATATTTACTCTTTAAACAGTTATGTTCTTTATTCTGAAAACTATACCATAATCAATGTAGCCTAAGAATGCAAGGTCCTTTTTGGAAGCGACATCAAATCCTTGGCTTCAGCTCTGCGCCTATAGCTCAAGCAGCTAGGGCGCCAGCCACATACACAGGAGCTGGTGGGTTCGAATCCAGCCTGGGCCCGCCAAACAACAATGACAACTACAACAACAATAAAAAATAGCCCAGCCTTGTGGCAGGCGCCTGTAGTCCCAGCTACTTGGGAGGCTGAGGCAATAAAATCACTTAAGCCCAAGAGTTTGAGGTTGCTATGAGCTGTGACGCCACAGCACTCTACCCAGGATGACAGCTTGAGTCTCTATGTCTCAAAAAAAAAAAAAAAAAAAAAAAAAAAAATCCTTGGCTTCAACTAACTTTAAAAATCAATGAAAATTTCTAAGTCTTTTCCCAATGCTTCTGAAAAGTCACATATTCCCCATCCTGTACTAAATTTTCTAGTCCCAAATACAAAATGCGGACTATGCAGACTATCTCCTGGCTGAAAATGATCAGCAACAAACATCAATTCCTCGCTGTTATCATAATGTATTCTTACTCATTTAGAATATTAATTTCTATTTCAATTCTAGATAAGAAAGCACAGAGAGGTACCTGAATGACTGTTGAAAATTTGGGGTCCGGGTGTGGAAATGCTGAGAAGGAGTTGGGTAACCTTGGGTCCGATGTAGGTTAGACCTAGGGCCTTGTCTAACAGATTTATTCATTGTGTGGACTGGTTCCTTGAGATGTGCTGAGCCTTGAAATCCACTTGACCTGTACACACTGGAATTCCGACTCCTCAAAAAGAATATTTCCATACAGTATTACCGGTTTCAAAATTTAGCAGTGAATTTACTGACATATTTTGGCATGTGAAAGTAAAAATCTCTTCCTTCTCCCATTACTATTGGTTTAGCTTTTCCTAGCAAATACACCGATTACCAGAAGAATGAATAAATGCAACTTAAATTGCATAAAAAGAATACAGCCATGGCGGCAAATGAAAATGTATTTCTTTGCTGCTTGAAATTAAGGTCCTATTTACACTGGTTTAATATAAATTAAGAGTTTTACCCGCTACATAATTTGTATAGGGAAATCACCATGAAAGAATTCAGTACTGTGACATATATAACACAGAAGGTCGGCTTTTACCTAAGCTATAGTTCCCAGGCTCTGGTTTCAAGTACCATTAAATTTGTAAAAAAAGTTGTTTTTAATTGGGACATTTAAGCACTTCTGGCTTTTATTTTTGCCAGCTAAGGACATTAAAACAAAAACAGAAAAAAAAAAACCCAAACTACCATATGCTATTAGCATCATTATGTAAGAGAAAATATATTTTAGCACCTCTAAAAGCAGGAAGAACATAATCGTAGAATAAAGGATTGCCATTTAAATGGAATAAATTTAGCTTTTTGAAAAACAAAAAATAAAAAATAATTTATATGAAAAGAGATCTTCCTATGATGACAACAAGCTAAAAACTTTCTGCAAAGGAAAGGAAGCAATCAACAAAATTAAGAGAGAACCCACAGAATGAGAGAAAATACTCATCTGATAAGGTATTAATAACTTGGACAAATAAGAAGCTCAAACAATTCAATAGGAAAAAATCATATAACCTGATTAAAAATGGGCAAAAGATCTGAATAGATATTTCTCAAAAGAAGACATACACAAAAAAATTTAATTAAAGACATACAAATAGCCAAAGGTATATTAAAAAATGCTCAACATCATCAGTCACCAGAGAATAAAAATGGTTTTTTTTTTAGAGACAGAGTCTCACTTTGTCGTCCTCGGGAGGGTGCTGTGGTGTCATAGCTCACAGCAACCTCCAACTCTTGGGCTTAGGTGATTCTCTTGCCTCAGTCTCCTGAGTAGCTGGGACTACATGCCCACCACAATGCCCAGCTATTTTTTTGTTGCAGTTTGGCCAGAGCCAGGATCGAACCCACCACCCTTGGTATATGGGCCGGTGCCCTACTCACTGAGCCACAGGCACTGTCCTAAAATGGCTTTTATCAAAAAGACAGGCAAAGCTCCTCAAAAACAGAACTACCATATGACCCAGAAATCCCACTGCTAGGTATATATCTAAAAGAAAGAGGCTGGGCATACTAGCTCACGCCTATAATCCTAGCACTCTGGGAGGCTGAGGTGAGTTTGAGACCTGCCTGAACAAGAGTGAGACTCCACCTCTACTAAAAATAGAAAACCTAGCTCAGTGCCTACTAGAGCGCCGGCCACATACACCAAAGGTAGTGGGTCCAAGCCTGGCCCAGGCCTGCGAAACAACAATGACAACTGCAACCAAAAAAATAGTTGGGGCTTGGCGCCTGTGGCTCAAGCGGCTAAGGCGCCAGCCATATACACCTGAGCTGGTGGGTTCAAATTCAGCCTGGGTCCGCCAAACAACAATTACGGCTGCAACCAAAAAAATAGCTGGGCATTGTGGCAGCACCTGTAGTCCCAGCTACTTGGAAGGTGGAGGCAGGAGAATCGCTTGAGCCCAGGAGTTGGAGGTTGCTGTGAGCTATGATGACACAGGACTTTATCCAGAGCAACAGCTTGAGGCTCTGTTTCAAAAAAAAAAAAAAGTTGGGCCTTGTGGCGAGTGCCTGTAGTTCCAGCTACTCAGGAGGCTGAGGCAAGAGAATCGCTTAAGCCCAAGAGTTTGAGGTTGCTGTGAGCTGTGATGCCACAGCACTCTACCAAGAATGATATAGTGAGACTCTGTCTTAAAGAAAAAAAGAATAGAAAAACTAGCCAGGCGTTGTAGTGGGCACCTATAGTCCCGGCTACTTGGGAGACTGAGGCAAGAGGTTCTCTTGAGCCCACGAGTATGAGGTTGCTATGAGCTATGACACCATAGCACTCTACCCAGGGCAAGAGAATGAGACTCTTTCTCAACAAACAAACAAACAAAAAAGGAAATTAGTATAACAAAAGTATTATCTGTGTTCCCATGTTTATTGCAGCCATATTGATAATAGCCAAGATTGGGAATCAACGTAAGTGTCTGACTGGATATAGAAAATGTGTATATACACAACAGAATATTATTCAACCACAAAAATAGAATGAAATCCTATCATTTGCAGCAACATGGATGACACTGGAGAATATTATGTTAAGTGAAATAAGCCAACACACAAAAAGACAAATCTGAGATATTCTCACTCATATGAGAGAGCTATACATTAAAATAATTGATCTCATGGAGACAGAGAATACAATGATGTTACCAGAGGCTGGGAAAGGTAGTAGGGATGAAGAGGAGATGGTTAATGCATACAAAAATAGAGTTAGATAGGTGGAATCAATAATATTTGATAGCACAACAAAGTGCCTATAGTTTATAGTCAGTTATGGTATACTTTAAAATAACTAAAAGGTGGAATGGAGTGTCCTAAAACAAAGAAATGATAAATGCTGGAGGTGGCAGACATCCCAATTACCCTTATTTGATTAATATACACTGTAGGTTTGTATCAAAACATCACAGGTACCCTTTAAATATATACTACTGTTACATAACCATAATAATTATAAATTAAAATTATTTTTAAAAAGAGACCGGGCATGATGGCTCACACCTATAATCCTAGCATTCTGGGAGGCCGAGGCCAAGGGTGGATTGCTTGAGCTCAGGAGTTTGAGACCAACCTGAACCAGAGCAAGACCCCATCTCTAAAAAAATACTCTGGCATTGTAGCAGGTGCCAATAGTCCCAGCTACACAGGAGGCTGAGCATGAGGATCACTTGAGCCCAAGAGTTTGAGGCTGCTGTGAGCTATGATGCCACAGCACTCTACCAAGAGCAACAAAGTAAGACTCTGTCTCAAAAAAAAAAAAAAAAAAATTTAAAAAGAGAGATCTCCAAACCACAATCTCACATATAAATATGAGACTTACTTTCTGATAGGACCATTCTGAAGGTCTTCAATGTAGTTCTGTCTTTCTAAGCAGTGTCCCCGGCACCTATTGAATACTGAGGAGTAGATGAACTGTTAGAAATAACTGTACAAAAAAGCACATCTTTCCCAGAGAAAGAAAATCAAAGCTGAAATTCACTGACTAAATTATTCAGTCTCTTACATTGGACTACTTCCATATATATCTCTTTATAATCTTTTGGTAAGACTATTGTATATGAAAACAAATTACAAACTTTTTTTTCCAAAATTTGAGAAATTCATCTACATTTCCACCTTTAACTTTTGTAAAAAATAAAAAATAGTGACAACCCTCATACTTACATTCAATTGCATCATCTGGCCTCATGCCTTCTACATCAATCAAATATCTAACAAAACAACATAATTTGGGTCATTTATATGTTCAAAAAGAAAAAAATCAAGTTTTTTCCAAAAAGGTCCAATTTCACTTACAAATGTAGACACAAAAATCCTAAGAAAACAGCACATCTAATCCAACAATTACTAAAGAATCATATACTATGACCACAAAAAGACTTTATTTCAAGAATGGAAGGATGACCCAACTTTAGAAAATCTATTAATATAATTATTTACATTAATATAACTTAACAGATAAAGAAAAGGAAAGCAAGTACAGGACCAACTGCTGGATATTAAAGGTATTTGATAAAATTCAAGTCATTTTTAACCAAAATGCTTTATAAACTAAAAACAGAAGAAGATGTCCTTAATACGACAAAGTATTTATCAGAAACCAACAACCAGAAGAAAATTGGGAAAAATATTAACATTACATCTAAAAAATACTGTGTAACCAACTGTGGGTCAGTCACCAACACCATCAGCCACTTCTTCCTTACGCTCACCTTGAACCCACCACCAACACTTGACAATGATATTACCTAAATGTCTCCAGAATACGCCCATAACATTCTGCCAAAATGACCACATCCTGGTACAATCCACCATTAGGCCTCAATTCCTACAAACATCTCCTGACTAGTTTCCTTCCTTCTATCTCTTTCTCTCTACAGTGTGTTCTCCACTCAGTAGGAAAATGATAGGCTAAAAATGCAAATTTGATATGTCAGCATATGTTTCCTATGCTGACCCCCAATAAAAAAAGTCCATTTTTCTAGTGTTCTTAAAACTAAAACCTTAAACACAGCTCTGCATGATCTAGCTCCTGCCCCTACTTCCAGCTCCATTTTAATGCCATACTTCCCCCAGGGCTAGCATTGCTGGCCAGTTCCTCCAACACAGTCCATGTTTTCCTGTTACAGGGTTGCTGCTGTTCCTTATGTTCAGAATTCTCTCCACAATGGTTAATACTTACTCATATTTCAGACATTTGCTCAAATCTCCCCACAGAAACCTGTCACATTCTTGATGAGGTCAAATCTTCCCTATTATATTTGCTCATTAAACCATGTCCCTCTCTTCCTTAGCACTTGTCAGATTTGTGATTCTACATACACGTGTGTGATGCTCTAATATCTATTCCCTCCCTACACTGTTATTAGAATTCACAAGGGGTGGGTGAAGTCTCTTTGCTAGCACACAGCACAGGGCCTATGCATATAAATATTTTCAATACTCAATAAATATTTTCTGAATGAACAAATATAAATTGGTACAGTGTGGCAACATCCATAAAAGGAATAAGGAGAATACTATTTCATTCAGAATTTTCACTTTGAGTGAAATTATCTCCAGGACAATGACATATGTATTTAAAGGTGTTCATAAAGAAATGTTCACTATTTCAATGTTTTATAATATCAAAAACTTCTGACTTTAATGTTCATCAATATGCAAAGAAACTATGCAACCTTTAGAAAGAATGAAGTTTCCAAGTACTTTCATAGAAAGATGTCCATCACACACTAACCATTAAATTACAAATACATGCTTCTATCTGTATTTTTTAAAGTTTGAAAAATATGTTCTAAATTATTAATGGTGGTCATCTCTGGTTTGAAGGCATGGCAGCTTTCTACTTCATACATTTCTATACCAACTGTACTTTTTGCAACAAGCTTACATTACCACTACAAATAGACAAAAACAGCCTAAAAATGGTCTGCCTCTGAGGTTGGCAACTTACCTACAGATTAGGTAGCCAGTCCTGTTTAAACCATGAGTACAGTGGACACCAATAAGCTTGTCTATAAAACAGGAAATACAGAGTTAAATAACTAATGTATATATATTAAAAATAGGTTCTATATTTTTCTGAAGAGTAACACTAAAAAGTTACTACAACATTACTACAAAAAGGAATAACTCCAAAGAGAAGTGTGGTTTTTTTCTTGGAATATGCTATAAAAAAACCACTTAACAGAAAGCCAAACTCAATGTCTCTGGTAAACTTTACCTTGTTCTGGTTCCGAATGAATGATGTAAACTGCAGAAGTCCTAATGAGGTACTAAGAGCTAAAACTGCATTGTGACAAACCCATTTGTCTTAACATACACTACCCATCATTAATTGATTTAATGGAGTGAAAATGACAACAGGCTATGAGAAGAATGAAATTTGTTTCTTCATAAAATGAATGGAATGCCTTCACTTTTGATACGGAACACTAAAAAGAACAGTCTCTGTAGTACTCGTGAGTTCCAAAGTGCTTCCTTCCATTCCTTCTCTACCCTGGGGCTCCTCACCTGCCACGGGTCTATATGTGCCCTGTGAAGTACTCAGGTAAACAGCACTTTTCATATTTTATAATGGAAAGGTAAGACTTAAAGATGTAAACCAAAGTAACACAGCAGGCAAACAGAACAAAGACTAGAATCAAGTCTAAGATTCTTCCCATTATGCTATCACATTTCTTAGTCCATCATTTTAAAAATATATATATATGAGGAATAAAAAACAACAATGTGTAGTTTTTCTTTGCAAAATCTATGTCTGTGACTAGGTGTTGCCTGTATCAATCACACCAAAGTCACTTCCCTGATTCGATCTCTTCTATCGCAGTTGCTCCTCGATATGAAGATATTCCCTCCCTCCCTCCCTCTTTCCGTTTTTTTTTTTTTTTTTTTTTTGAGACAGTCAATGGGTTGTACCATGCTAGAGTATCATGGCCTCAGCCTAGCTCATAGCAACCTCAAACTCCTGGGTACAAGCAAGCCTCCTGTCTCAGCCTCCCAAGAAGCTGGGACAACTGGTGCCTGCCACAACGCCTGGTTACTTTTTCCATTTTTAGGAGAGACAGGGTCTTGCCCTTGATCAGATTGATCTAGAACTCTGAACTCAAGGGCTCCCCCCTTGAGCACTTGACCTTACAGAGTACTGGATTACAGGCATGAGCCAATCTTGCCCAGCAAGATTTTCTTTTGTAAATTTTAGACAGGGTCTAGCTCTGTTGTCAAAGATATTATCTTTCTAAAACATAAGTTTGGCTTGGTTGCTCTTTTCCTTAAAAATATTCAAACTTCATGACTACAACAGGGACCTTATCTATCAAGCGCAAACACCGTACCCTAATTACTGTAACTCAAGCTCAAACACTATAACCCTCAGGTTAACCTAAAATTTAAAAAATCTTTAAGTTTCTTGGCATGGCATAAAGAACCCTTTATAAATGGGTATCAATCTGTCTTTCCAACTGCAGTGTAAGTCTACAATGATCTTAACTATGATTTCTAAGAACAATATCAACTATTTCCCTCCTGCCCACCTCCAACCTCCCGGATCCCATTTTCTACTGCTCTGACCCTCACTCACTTCACTCCACCCATAGTGGCCTCCTTAAGACTCCTTCAAAGTACCAAGCACAATTGTGCTTCAGGGATTCTGCAACCTCCTGTTCCCTCTGCCTTAGAATACTCCTATCCCAGATACACAACAGCTTGCTTCCTCACTTCCTTTAAGGTCTCCTTAAATGACATCTGTTTGGGGGGGAAGGGTGGGTTCTTAGGACAGAGTCTCACTCTGTTACTGAGGAGAGTACACTACCACAGCTCACTAAACCTCAAACTCCTGCGATCAAGTGATCCTCCTGCCTCAGCCTCCCGAGTAGCTGAACTATAAGCTCGCACCAACTCATCTGGCTAAATTTCCTATTTTTTGTAGAGATGGGTTCATCCTTGCTCAGGCTGGTCTCAAACTCTTGGCCTCAACCAACCCTCCCATTACAGCCTCCCAAAGTGCTAATATTACAGGTATGAATTACCATGCCTAGCCTCAAACGACATCTTATTAGCAAGGCCTTCCCTGATCACCCACCTCTTCCCTCACCCTTTCATCCTGTTTGTTTCTCTCCAAAGCACTTATCAGCATCTACATTCAGTATATTTATTTGCTTATGTATCTCTCCCCCACCAGAATATAAAGTATATAAAGGCAAAGACTGTTCTACCATCACTTTCTATAACAGTGCCTTTAACACAGTAGGTTATATATTTGTTGAAAAAGAACATATGGTCTCCATTCCTTTCACCCTACCTTCTAAGTCACACAGGAGGGTGCCTTTCCATGACTTCAAGCCCTGTGCCTTTTGTACTTAGTTCCCAATATTAGACTGTCCTTCCCTCCTTCTGGTAAAATCCTCTTCCCTCTAGCCTAGCTCAAATGCAGTCTCCTCAGTCAGGCTTTCCTCAACCTCTATTGTAATATTCTTTTTTTTTTTTTTTTTTGAGACAGAGTCTATGTCACCCTCAGTAGAGGGCTGTGGCGTCACAGCTCATAGCAACCTCAAATTCTTGGGCTTAAGCAATTATCTTGCCTCAGCTTCCCAAGTAGCTGGGACTACAGGTACCCGCCACAATGCCCAGCTATTTTTTTGTTGCAGTTGTCATTGTTTTAGCTGGCCCCAACCAGGCCAGCCTCGGTGTATGTGGCTGGCACTGTAACCACTGTGCTATGGGTGCTGAGCCTCTTCGAATATTCTCACTGTACTTTATTCCTTTATTATAATTAACACAGTCTTTTTTGTCTACAATTAACTCATATCCTAAGCCACATGTACTGCACGTTTATTTTCTTAGATAACTGTGAGTTTCTGAAGAACAAAGAGGATTATTCACCTCTGCATTCCTTCCTATGCCCTAACAGTAAAGCTAAAAGGATCTCAGTGTTTACTGAATCAATTTATTTTCTGAGTCTCTACCAGTTCTAGGGATTGGAGAATATAGAGTCCTTCTCTTTTATCAGTAAGCCTGGTATTTGTGAGAAGGGCTAATAGCAGAGGTAGCCAAAACTGATCCTGAACAAGGTCCCAAGACTGCCATCGTAGCAAACACCACAAGACACAGTCAGCACAGGACTCACATGTGGTTCAGACTATCCAACTGACTACACTTGGTGTAATATGTAAACAGTTAAGATTTTAAAATTTGTTCTCACATACTCTTAAGGACCTCCCAGCCCTTACAGAATAGATGAAACACTGTATAACCATTTCATACAAGAGAGCCTGAAAGCAGCTGAGTAAGCCTATAGGTAGGCCAAGTAAGTCAGTGCGGCTGTACCCTCACACCTTAAGAGATAATATTTCTGGGCAGTGCCTATGGCTCCAAGGAGTAGGGCGCCGGCCCCATATACTGGAGGTGGTGGGTTCAAACCCGGTCCCGGCCAAAAACAGCAAAAAAAAAAAAAAAAAAAAAAGGTAATATATCTGTGACTATACCTTATGCAAATATGACTTCCTTCCTCTGTAGATGTTTTTATCACAGGCAAAAACTAAACTCCTCAAGTTTAAAGTTAAAGTATAGGGGCAGATCTGTGAACAAGGATTAACATAAGTAAAAGCAAATGCCTACATTAAGTGACTGAACAAGTTACAGTTTTAAAATTTATCTTCAAACCCACTGATGTAGTTTCTCGTCTTCATCCTCTATCTTCTCACCCCTATCTCTGTTCTTTCTCCATTACTCCCTGATATTTTTTTTTAAAGGGAATATTCACTATCTGTCAGAGTTAAGAAATAAAGTATGCACTCCTCAAGCTAAATTTAGAAAGCAGGCAAAATGAAAGCTTTGTCCTGTGGCTTTGTCCTGGGTGTCAGTGGCTTTTCAAAGAGAAAAGCTTCTTCAGTCTTAAAATATAACAAATATCATGTTCTTTCTGATAGGCAGATGCCAGGAAAAGACAACCAGATCCTTAAAATTCAGAAGCTATTAAGATCTATTTTCAACAGAGTAAGGTACATCTAAAAGCAGGAACAAGAAAGGACCAGTTTCTGACTTAAGTTCTTCCTGTCTGAAGAGTAAGAAGTCATAGTTTCCTTCCTCACCTGTACTCAAAGTAGACAAACAGCAGAAATATCTTAAATACTTATCAAAAAGAGTCAATTCCCATGGTTCACTCTTTTTTCTTTTGCTTCTAGGGGTCTAACTCCCAACCTTTGCCTTTTGTTGTGTCTTTTACATAGCTCTAAGATCCTGAGATTTTTAACCATTTCTTCCAATTCTTATCTCTTAACCAATACATAAAGCAAAAAGAATATTTTAATTTTATTTTATATTTTTTCCATTCAAATGTATCTCTTTCTTTTTTGAGACCAAGTCTTATTCTGTTGCCCAGCCTAGAGTATGGTGGCATCCGCCTAGTTCACAGCAACCTTAAACTCCTGGGTTCAAGTGATCCTCCTGCCTCAGTCTCCCAAGTAGCTGGGATATAGATACTCACCAGGAAACCCTAGCTAATTCTTCTATTTTTAGTAGAGATGGGATCTCACTCTTGCTCAGGCTGGCCTTGAACTCCTGAGCTCTAGGGATCCACCCACTTTGGCACTCCCCAGAGTGCTAGGATTACAGAGTGCTTGGTGAGCCAATTTACCCAGCCTCCATTCAAATTTTTTAAAAAGAGATGTGTGAGCTAGTTCAGTTTATATTTCTCACTAAAATTACTTTCCAAAGTAAATTAAATGATTTGTGACCAACAAAAGAAAAACCATACCCTGTTAGCACCATATGACATTTTCACCTTAACATCAAATACAATAGGCCTAAGGTCAGAACAGTTAAAAATATCAATGTCACAATCCCATTTAAAATATACACCAAAGTTCAGATAAGAAAAAAAAAACCAAAAACTCACCATTATCTTTATTTTCCTTCAAAAACCCATTAACAGCACATTTGAATTTAAAAATAGTGTCATCATCAGGCACCTGATGCCCAACTGTAAAAATTTTTAAGTAAGGAATAGTTTCTGGCAAATCCTATAAAGCAAAACCATGAAAAATGTATATTATTTCATTTGTAGAGAAAGAATTAAAGATTAATTGGAGGAGCTAGAGATTATAATAAATTTAGTATGTCAGCAATTCTAATAAAAGAGCCATTTTTTCCAAAGCTGCTTCAACCAAGAAGTATCACTTGATTTTCAATAAAACTACAGAACAGATAATCAATAGGAATACTAAACTGAATGCAAATTCCATGTGAACAAATGCATGTATAAATAAAAATGATATAAATAGTTCTAGCAATATTTGACATTTCAAGGACCAGTACCTTCATAAAGCAACTATGTTTTAAGTAGAAGAGTAGAACAGAGTCAGAACTTGGTTTGATTTGTGAGACTGAGGGAATTCTAGGCACTGTTGAGGACTGGTGTTCTTGGGGAGAGAGGAAAGTAGATACAGAAGAGGTTGAGTGAAAATCCTTAAAATCTGAGTTTAAATAGCAAGTATCAGCATGAACCCATAATGCATTTTACACTACAGTGATATTCCCCAGCATTGTCTACCAAAAAAAGCCTAGAAACATCAGTCTAGTAGCAATGAAAACCTCTAGCACTCAGATTACAACCTCTAACTACCATTATCACTAAAAGGAACCAAAGCTCTTTGGAAGAATGGCTGAGCTCAAGGTGAGGCAGGAAACATACAAGATAACCCTGGAACTTTTCATATAAATAGCCAAAAAGTGATCAAAGTTTACTAGGGTTGTGTCAAAAGAATTCATGAAACAGATAAAAAATCTCCAGTTGTCCAAAGATAGGGCCTCAATTTGTGCCTCAATGAGAATAACAACTGCAATGAATTCATAATGTACAAAAAAGAAATAAGTTAAATTAAATCTCATTTACCTGGAGGATATAGTGAACCAAATCATTTTTTTTTCTTTTTTTTTTTTTTTGAGACAGTCTCACTTAGTTACCCTTGATATAGTGCTGCAGCGTCATAGCTCATAGCATCCTCAAACTCTTGGGCTCAAGTGATTCTCTTGCCTCAGCCTCCCAAGTAGCTGAGACTACAGGCGCCCACCACAATGCCCGGCTATTTTTTAGAGACGAGGTCTCACTCTTGTTCAGGCTGGTCCTGAACCCATGAGCTCAGGCAATCTACCTGCCTAGGCCTCCCAGAGTGCTAGGATTACAGGCGTGAGCCACCGTGCCTGGACTCAACCAAATCATTTTGAAAAATGTAAAGTAAAAGAAAAGAATAATGCTTGCATAACCGGTCAGCCAAATAGTTCATGAGGGAAAACTTTATAGAAATACACCTCACTGTTGCCCTGGGTATAGTGCTGTGGCATCATAGCTCACAGCAATCTCCAATTTGGACTCAAAGCAAAACTGCCTCAGTTTTTCTATTTTTAGGTCTCACTTTTGCTCAGGCTGGTCTCAAACTTGTGAGCTCAAGCAATCCACCCACCTCAGCCTGCCGGAGTGCTAGGATTGTAGGTGTGAGCCACTGCGCCCAGCCTTTTTTTTTGAGACAGAGCCCCACTTTGTCACCCTTGGTAGAGTGCTGTGGCGTCATAGCTCACAGTAACCTCAAACTCCTGTGCTCAAACAATTCTCTTCCCTCAGCCTCCTCAGTAGCTGGGAATACAGGCACTCGCCACAACACCTGGCTATTTTTAGAGATGATGTCTCACTCTGGCTCAGGCTGGTCTGGAGCCCATGAGCTCAGGCAATTCACTCGCCTTGGCCTCCCATGAGCCACCATGCCCAGCCTTTTCCAGTTTCTTCAAAACATAAAATTCAAGGGGAAAAAAAAGTGAAACATAGAGGGGAACCTATAGATATAATCGGACTTAAGAGACCTAACAACCAATTGCAAAGTGACAATTTTATAGGTCATTTAGGAGATAACTACAAATTTGAACACTGACTAGATTATTTGATATTAAAAGGCATTACGGAATAAAAGTTACATATTATATCAACATAAGGAACTAGACCTACTGTGCAGATACGTACATGTGGTACATGTCTGGTCTATGAAAATCAGGTTAACTTAAGGAGGTGGTCAAAGAAGGGAGGTGGTCAGCGATGGAGGCTCTACTGTATTATAGTTCAATTCACATCTTCGACTTCATTTTTTTTTTTTTTTTTTTGAGACAGAGTCTTACTGTGTCACCCTTGGTAGGCGTCACAGCTCACAGCAACCTCAAACTTTTGGGCTTAAGTGATTCTCTTCCCTCAGCCTCCCGAGTTGGGACCACCGGTGCCTGCCACAATGCCTGGCTATTTTTTTGTTATAGTTGTCATTGTTGTTTGGCAGGCCTGGACTAGGTTTGAACCCACCAGCTCCAGTGTATGTGGCTGATGCCCTAGCCACTGAGCCACAGGCACCGAGCCTTCAACTTCATTTTGAAACAGCAATTAAAAGGAAACTTTTTGGTTCTCTTTTAAACTTATTACCCATGAAATAAGGCCAGCATTCACATTAGTACAGATCATAATTGCCGAATTATTAGTAAATTACTATAAATTATTTTAGTATCAGAATAAAGAAAGTTCTTTTCAATTAAGGGTTCCATTTACCTCTGGTTTATAATAGCGTTGAGTGTATGTTAAATCAATTATCAGTCCAAGTTCTTCATTTTGTTCTTGGATTTTGTTTAAAAGATCCAAAGGGGAAAAGCATTCTTCTGGAGTAAGATTCTTTTCAAAACTCTGTCAGATTAAGTAAAATAAGAAAGAGCAAGTGTGTATTTAAAATTCTATATTATATATTCAATATATATTATATATCCAAGCCCTGTGATGCTTACAATAAGATTCAAAGGAAAGTTTCCAGTTTCCTGGAACATAAAAGGTATATTACAACCTTTTTTCCAGAGTGATCAAAAGGAAGAAAATAAACTCATTTCCATGTATTTATTTATGTTTTATGTTGGTCTCCTAATCAGACTAAACTCCCAGAAAGCAGAGACCACATTTATTTTGTTCACCACTGTTTACTGTTTATCCAGCTCCAAGTGAACAACTATTTAGGTGCTTAGAAATATTTCTCAAATATATATATATCATATATATATTTGGACATATATATATAAAGGATGGTTTTTATTGCTTCTTTTATGTATACGGCTTATTTCTGGACTTTGTATTCTGTTCCACTGATCTGCCTGGCTATTCACAGACTTCAGTTGTTAGAGCAGTTTTTTCATACACTTTAGTTCTTAGAGAAATTTCAGGTTCACAATGAAAAACTGAGCCAAAAGGACAGGGAGTTCCTACAAGTTCTTTCTCTTACCCCACACAGCCCTCCCTATCATAAACATTCCATTACCAGTGTGGTCCATTTGTTACATTTAAGGAACCAACTTTGACACATAATTATCAACCAAAGTTCATGCTTTACATTATGCTTGGTTCATTCTTTGTGTTGTACATTCCATGTACATATGTTACCTATATTTTATCACACACAAAAAAGAAATGAGTTCAAATTTTAACTCTTTCTTTTCTGACTCTGTCTCATCATCTATAATTGTAATCATCTATCCTCTGAGGTTAGTATACATAAGCACTCAACAGGAGATATTAGTACTACTGCTACTTTGTCAGCACAGGAATGTTGTAAGGATTAACTAATTTAATGTATATGTAAAAACCTTCTATGGGTTTTGATCAATATATAACAACAAATATCCACCCTTACAGTGTCTCCTGTGCTCCAAGAACACACTTTCTTTTTTTTTGAAAACTTGGCCTTTTATTTTTATTTATTTATTTTTTTAAGATAAGCTTTATTTATTTATTTTTGCCATTTATTTATTTTTTTTTT